TGTGCACCACGCCCAGGTGGACGAAGCTGCGCAATCACCTCCGGGATGCCCAATAGGTCTCAAGCATTTGCTCATGAAATTCTCACGCCACCCTAGGTCTTTGGATGCCATTACAATCTCCACTTTCCAGGTGGAACAACTGAGGCTCGGCAAGCTGGATCCTTGGCTCAAGGGCACAGCGATAGGCCAAGGTGAGCAGGAATGTGAGACCAAGGATGCACAACTCTGGGACCTGCAGCGCCCACTGTCACTGTCATCAGGGCTCATTCAGATCTGGAAGGAGTACTTGAGGTTGGCTCATCATCCCATTGTATAACTGAGAAAACTGAGACCCAGAGAAGAGAAGAGACTGATCTAGTTACAGAGCTGCCACTGTTAGAACCAGAAAAAAATTCCTACAAATGCTGCTCATATTTATTGAGCACTTACTATGTTCCACAGGCTAAGTGCTTGTGTGCATCTTTTCAGTTCATTCTTACAATAACGTCAGGAAGAGACAATTAGCAATCTCATTTTTCATTTGGGCAAACTGAGACAGAGAGAAAAACAGCTAACTCAAAGTCACACAGCTAATCAGCGGTGGAGGCATAACCCAGGGAGTCAAGCTCTAGAGTCCTCACCCAGTGCTCGTGGCCCTGCCTCCCCCACAGAGAGGCTGGCCTCACCCAGCATCCCAGGCCCACGCAGACTTGCCTCCCAAGGGCTCTGCAGACTCCCAGGGCATGGCTACCTCCAAGCAAGGCAGGGTGCAGCTCAGGGAGACAGGTGCAGAGCCGGGCTGGCAAGCCCCGGGTGCCAGAAGACCATGAGCCCCCTGCCTCTGCAAAGGGAAGTTTATCCAACAAAATGCAGCCAGCAAGAGCACGTCCCGCTTTGTGTCTCCCGTTGCAGGCAGCACACATCTTGGGAGATGTGTGGATGAAAGGCACCATATAAAATGCAATCAATTATGAATCACCATTACTGAATTAATCACATGTATGATTAATACAGTAATAATAATTAATGGGAGTACGGTCTAGAGATTAGAGCTGAGAACTGGCAGGGAGGAGCCAGAATATTCCTCGCCACTGCCTGGAGGCGTCACCCGGGAAGGGCCTGGGTTTGGATCTTGGTGTCTCTCTGCCCGCCCCTGCCTTGGCTGTAGAAGTGAGGGGCTTGATGTCTCAAAACCCCAAGATGGGCCTGGGCTGGGTCCTGGGCTCTTCCATCTACCTACAGCTGCATCTCAACTGCTCAAGGTCAAGAGGACAAAGTTTCTTGAAGAATCCAAATCTTGATCTGGCGTAAGATGGTGAAGGGTGTGAATGAGGCTGGGGCGAGGATGTGGTGGGGTGGCCTTTGAGCTCACACTTGACTTTAATCAGCCCTATAAGCTCATTTGCTGTCTGTCCCATTGTCCGTCTGCATTAGGATTTGTCTTTTCTCTGAAATCCCCAGAGGGCTGGACCTCATCTGTTCTTTCCCATTGCAAAGCTGGTGGATTATTTTTGCATGTGGCTTTATTCTTTCCCATGACTCGTCCAGCCCAGGCACATTCCTTATTCCCAAAGAGGGGAGCAACGCAGACAGCACACACGTGAAAACGCCTGCAGTCCTCCCAGCTCCCCTGTGCGCATTTGGGTGTGTATCTTTGTAAGCCTCTCTTTCCACAAGTATACATATTACGTATATGTTACACATGGGCGTATATTATATATGTAATTATATACAGGCCCCCTTTTAAAAAATAGGTGGAATAAAATTAAATACTTGTTGTGCAGATGCTTTTTGATAGTAGCTGCCACATGCACAATTCAAATGAGAACTGCACAGTGCAGCCAAAATCCCACCAATGAAGTAAACCATCAGGCTGTTGGTGAGAGGGGGGCCAGCGATGAGTTTTTTGGAGGGAGATTCATTAACACTTTCCTGCCCCTGGTGCTCAGCGTCTTTTTACTCTTGAGGAAAGGTCATTTGTCCAAAGACGCCTTAATGCAGTTTAGAAATGAACGTCCCCCAGCCACCTGGTCCCTACATGGCTGGAATCCTATTTGTTCCCCAGCATGGAAACAAAGCATCTTATTGTTCCCTTGAAAGGAAAACCACCTCCTGCAGGCCGCACAGAGCTTGGTCAAGTCAGGTTGTCAGTATAGGAACCCCTGCCCGGGGCATATTCCTCCTAATGTGGATGGGGAAACTGAGGTCGGGAGCAGGGAAGGGATCTATGCAGGGCACACAACCAGTTAGGGACCAAGCCAAGACAAGCCCATCATCTTGACTCCCAGTCCAGTGCTCTTCCACTATCCCATGATTTCCAGGGTCTGAAAACGGGGAGATCCAGAGACAGGTTCTGGAACAGGTCCCTGGAAAAGCCTGTTGGCATCAGCTGGCTGCAGAGGTGAGGAGCCCTGGGAAGGAGGACTGCTGGAGAGGAGGTGGAAATTTTTTCAAGTGGCAAATATCTTTGCAAATGGGTCACCCAAACCATCCTGGCAACTGCAGGGAGGACGCACCCGGGTCCCTTGGCTGTGCTTGGATGAACTGTAGATAGGAAGCATCCTCCTTCCTGTCTCGTTGGCTGTTCCTGACAGCATCCAGGCCTTGGGTGATGGAGGAGCAGGGCGTTTCCTGGGGATTGATGACCCTGCCTGGGGCAACAGCAGGCAGAGGGCCTACCGGGTCATCACTCAGCCTGTGCGGGAGCCCCACACAGTGCCCTTCTCTGCTGCCTACAGGCTGAATATTTCAAAATCAAATCGCTGAAATCTGTTCTTGTCCTAGGAGGAGCTTCCTCCTGCTGGACGCTCTGAGACCAGGAAGGACATGGCCAGGGCTGGCTGCATCTGATTTCCTGGATGACTTTGTGGGGTGGACCCACCTCCCTTGGCAGAGACCTGAGGGTACGTGTGGCAGAGATACTGGATAGCCCTGTTTTGACCCCTCCTTGGAAAAGGAAGAGCTTGCCATTCACAGTTCACAGATGGGGACACTGAGGCCCTGAAGCAATCAGTGCCACACCCCAAGTTAAACAGTAAGTCAGGCAGTAGCCAGCACCTCCTGGGAACCCAAAAATCCTGCCTCCTGGCTCAGAATCTTCCTTAGCTATGTGACCTTGGACAAGTGACTTAGGTCTCTAAGCTTGTCTCCAAGTTGGGACTTTCCTAATAGAGCTAAGTCACAAAGCTTTGGGGAGAAATCAATGAATAATGCACATAAATTCATTTGCAGGGAGCCTGGCACAAAACAGGTGTTAAGTGAGTGCTCTTGTTGTTGTTGTTATTATTATTATTATAGCAGATGACAGTTTTTAATTCTGCATACTTTGTCTGCTTTGTCACAAGAGTCTAAATGTTATTCAGCAGTATGACCCTCTCTCCAGGTTTAGGGGGAACCAAGAGCAGGAAGGGTTAAGGTGGAGGTAAGGGTGACAGTGGGGTGGGGCACTGAAATGCTATCTTATGCCATATCTTGCTCCCATTTCTGACATTCTCTGTGACCTTGGACCATTCTCTCTCTCTCTCTCTCTCTCTCTCTCTCTCTCTCTCTCTCTCTCTCCTCTCAGGCCCTTTGTTCTTGATGCATCCAAATGACAGTGTTGGCTGCTTGGGCACTGCAGTAAGAACCCACCCCAGGAGGCCAGGAGAACCCCAAACCCACAGGGGCCATTGGAGGAGGAGGAAGCCCCCCCAATAGCCCCAGGGGGCAGCCTGACAGGGAACCCCCAGGAGCTGGAGAATGCAGGCTGCCCAGTGTTGCCAACTCAGTGGCCTCTGCCGGGCCCTGCAATAGTCCTCCCACGCCCTCCTCCCAGGCTTGGCCCCAGAGAGGCAGAGATCCCCTCAGGAGAGGCCCCTCCTGCCCCCCTACTCTGCACTCCCTGTGGAGCCGGCTTGGCTTCGTCAAAAGCAGGGCCCATCAGGGTGGAGGCGGCGATGTGTCAGCTGGTATTCAGGCTCTGGTTGTGCGCTCAGTTCGCTCCCCCTCCCCATCTCCCCAAATCCACCCACCCACCCACCCCTTTACCCACTGCTTGGGGCCTTCTGGGTGGCAGCACTTCACAGAGAGAGAGAGAGACAGAGGAGCAGCCTTGAGCCCTTGGCTGTTGGGGGTGGGGGGAACTGACTCACTTGGCCCCCTTCTTGGTGCCGATGGGGCAGCTCCCACACCCAGGGTCGCCGGCCCCCGGTCAGGCCCCTGGGTTTGGGAAAGGAAACTGCAGCCCGCCGCGCCTGACCCGAGCCGGCTGAGGATGCGCTCTGCGCGCAGGGACCCGCTGGCCCCCGGGCCGGGAGGCGATGTGTAGGCAGCGACCCCCCAGCACAGGCTCGCTCCCGCGGCCGCCTGCTGGGGCCACCCTGGCCGCGGGCCCGCCGGGACGCCCCTGCTCGCCGCGCCCCTCCCTGGGCCGTGGCGCGTCCCCCGAGTCTCGCAGTATTTTCTTCCTGCACCTTTAAGAAGACCGTTGCTCCGTGGTGGGATGGTGTGTTAAAGCCACACAGAGGAAGTTACGCAGCCCGGATCAGACCGAGAGATAAAAGCCCCGATGGTGATCGTGAGTGATGGCAAGAGGATTTAGCCTCGGCATTAACTTAGAGCCGAGTGCAGGGGGGCAGTGAAGCGCCCCGCCATCTGGCCCGCGCCGCGCCGGGGGGATGCCCCGGCGCCCCCAGGAGCAGCCGCGAAGCCCACCCGGGCCGGGGGCTGCCCGGCGCGCGAGCGCGGGTCCTCCCGGAGCCGCCCAGGGGACCCAAAAAGTTTGCACTTGTTAGCGGCGACCTCCCGCTCCGCCCGGGCGGGCGATGCGGGCGGCGCGGGCGGCCCCCTCCCCCGGCCCGCGTCTCCGGGACGGCTGCGGGCGGCCCCCCCGGCGGCCGGAGGGCTCCCCAGCCCCGATCTGACGGCGGCGGCGCGGCGGCCACGGCGGCGGCGGAGCGGCGCGGGGAAGGAGCACCGGCGCTCAGCCCTCCGGCCCTCGCCCCCACCCAGCGCCATCCAGAGGGGAGGCGCAGCGCCAGAGGGTGGCGGTCCTCGGCCTCCCGGGTCTCCGCTCCGGGAAGCCGCTCCGAGCCGGGGTAAGGCGGGCAGGGAGAGCCCGGGAGGCGAGCGGGGGCAGAGGCGCTGCGGCTCGCCAGGCTGGTTTCATTTTTAAAGGGCTTTGGTGACCGTGCCGGCTCTCCCGGGGCCCTGGAGCCACTTAAAGCAGCCGAGCGAAGGCTGGGATGCAAAAGTTATTTGGTAGCGGCTGCTACTAGAGGAGGACTGGAGTGGCCCCGAGAGGGGTGTGTGAGTGTGCGTTTGTAGCAGCATCTTAAAGGAGTAGCTTGTCTTTCTGGCTGGCTCCCCCACCCCTTCTTTCCCCGCCATGCGTGCGTGTGTGGAGCGGGGATGGACGTTGCAAAAATGCTTGGATTTGTTTATGAAATGGAAATTAACTCTTCTCCAGCGCCGCTCCCCCACCCCAATTTAATCACCACCATCCAGAGCTACCCCATCCCGTGCCCTCCCATCTCTGCAAACTGGAGGACGTGTGAGTTGCACGGAGAACTCTTGACCAGCCAAGGACGGAAACTTCTTTCCGTGCAGTAGAGGGTCGGGGCTGGGGGGCGGACGGAGGTAAGGACCGGCTTGAGCGCCGTGCGGAGTCGAACTCGAACCGGGGGAAGCAGAGGCAGCGAGAAGGCGGGAAGAGGACCGCGAGCTCCGAGTCCGCCCGCTCCGGAGTAAGTCGCAGTTCTGGGCGGGGTGGGTGGCGGTGGTGGCGGCGGCGGCGACAGGGTCGCTGCTGGCAGCAGCGCCTGGAAAAAGAATGCAACTAATTCGCGGGCGTTTTGCTCGGTGTCTTTTAATTAAGTGAGACGATGCTAAATGAGGGGTACCCTCAATGCTGACCGGGCCTTTATTAAAGGCTGGATTATCAATTGCTCTCGTGGTTTGCACACAACTTCGGAAAAGCAAGAAGCCGCGGCGGGTTTGCCGGGCTGGTCCATGTGCAATGCACACGGTTTGCAGCCGGCCGGAAGCACAGACTGGACCTCCACTCCTGGCCGTTTGCGGTCCTAGGTGGCCCCGCCCTCCGGCCCGCGGGGACCCACCGGCGCGACCCCAGCCGCCGCGGCCTCCTGCTCGTGCCCCGCCCCCAACTTTCTAGGGCTCCCTGGCCGCCGAGAAGGGCTCGGGGGCAAACCAGGGCCAGAGAAAGCTCCAGTTGCGGAGCCGGGACACCTGGGCTGCCGAAACCCGCCCATTGAGCCGATGGTGAGCGCTGGACACCTACAGGGCAGCTCCGAGGCAGGAACGGGAAGGTGACTCGGGTCGCTATCCCTCCTCGTCCCCCCTCCCAATATCCCCCAAAGCAAATTTCACCCCCTCCACCGACCGGCAGGGAAGGAAGAGGAAACCTGTCGGAGGGGCTGGGGCCCCCAGAACCCCCGACGCGCTCCCCAGTCCCCCCAGGGGCCCGCGCCCGCGGAGGCAAGTTTCCCACAAGGCGAGGGCGCAGCCGGCAACTCCGAGAGAAGCCAGCTCGCGAGCCCAGCCAGCTCCGAGAGGCGCTAATTCAATAAGACAGAAATCTGAGTTCAGAAATCCTGATAAAATCTAATTTTCGGGTTTTAATACCCTGGCTATCAGCCCCTCCTTGATTCCCGAGGACTCTTAAAAGAAAATAAAGCGCATTGATTCTATCTGTTTCTGAGAGCTGCAGTTTCTTAATAATATCAGGTGAAGATTTATTTTCCAAGGAGAAAACGATCCACCAGGATACAACCTCTTACTCTGAAATTTCCCTTGCCGGCTTCTCCCTGCCATCGCCTCTTTATTCCCGGGGTTCTTGCGGCTCTCCCCCCCTCCCCTTTTTGCTTTTTTGGCAAAAGCCGACTGTAATATTCGAGCGCTGAGCTCACAATTCCCCCTGCGATGCCAGCAACGCAATCAACGCCCAGTTGATTGACTGGTTGTAAACACATTTTCCCCTGGCAGATTTTGTTGTTGTTGCCCCCCACCCTCCGTTTTCCAGGGAATGCGTGGCATTTAAGTCAACAAAACTGCAAAGCAATTAATAAATTTGCAAGTTGCCCCGCACGCGGCCTCCAGGCTGAGCTTCGCTGCCTGCTCAGCCTGCCTCGCGCCCCGCGCCATCCCAGCCCGGCCAGGCTGGTCCTGCGGCTGAAGCCCGCAGCTGGGCCCTCCTTAAGAGCCGCAGCCCTGCGCCCTGGTCGTCCCTAGCCATCAGGAGCTCCCTACCTGTTAGGGAACAGTCGGGAGTCAGCTTCTAGAAGAATTAATTAGAGGCATGCTGTTTTCTGGGCAGCTCCGAGCTCTGGTAGAGGCGTCCAAACCTCTGCCGGCCGAGCTATTTTATTTTTACTACATTTTCTCAGGTTGTAAAAATAGACCTGGGCACGTTCTTTCTGGGAGTTTTCTAGCAAGGAGCGCATTCAAGGCCGGGCTGACTCTATAACAGGTTTCTCTCAACAGCCAGGGGTGAAACGGGAAAATGTGGTCCTGGTTGGGTCCTCATTCATCTGCATTAGGAGACCTTCATCCTGAGAGAGGGGCAGAGGCCCACTTAACGCAGATGGATGAGTCCCGCTCTGGGCATGGAGATCAGGTCGCCTAGCTAGGGGCTTCTCCCAGAGCAGATATGTTCAGCACGGAGGCGGGCAGTGTCTGGCCTTCAGTTTCTCATTTTTGGCAAGCCATTGTTTGTATCTGGGTATAAGTGGGGCTTCATGAAAATATAGTTAACTCCCCAGAGACCTCCCGTGAACAGTGGCTCAAAAGGATGTCAGATGAAGAGTCAGGCTGCCATTTGCATTATTTGGGAATTGAAATGCATAATCATGGGCATAACAACCAAAATAATTAATAACACAGACATTTTATGCTGTAACTCATTGCAGTAACCTTTGCCCTGTTGACCAGTTCTTTGGGCTAGGCTTCCATGCTGCTGACTGGACTCGGATTGTCCTGGTGATGTATTAAGTGCCTGGGATCACCACATCATCCGAGCCATGTGTTTCCCAGTAACATTTGTATTAGTTATATCTATTTTGGTTTTTAAATAATTACCAGAGACTTAAAATAGTAAAGCAGTAATCCTAATAGTGATCCATTTATAGACATACCCTTCAAAGATGACTGCAAAATGTTGGCCTTGATCAGAAAATCTGATATGACAAAACATTATCATTTCTGTGGAAGTATTCAATATCTTAGTTTCTTACTGTTAAAAAAAAAATTAAAGTCGACATTTCAGATTGTACCTGCGATTGAAGAGGTAGTTGTCAATGTCTACTGTTTCTTTGTTGGCCACGTGTGACCCACTCTGTTTGTACCTGTAGGTGTGGCCTCATCTGCAAATAGTTACAGTCTCCCCGCCTCCTTTAACAACTCTGACACTTTGACTTGCAGGGCGTGGTATTTTAAAGCGACCATTAACTGTTGGCTCCTGGGCCTGGGGCCCTTGGGCAGACACTTCTGCTGCACCCATGAATGGTGAGAAAACACCTCACCTTTTTAATAACGTGCCCGATCTCCAAATGTGCAACTCCAATATTAATAAAAATAACCCAGTTTTCTCGGGAGATCTTGCTAATGCAGCCTCATTTTTTGCACATTCTGCCAGAGAGCTTTTGTTCTTATACATCCCTAATCTCCCCTCTTTTAATTTGTTGCAGGTGTTGTTGCTAATGAGTGCTCCCGCTCTCTCCTCTCTCCTCCCTTCTTACAATGAAAGACAAGCCAGACCCTGGGATTCTGGGTGGATGGAGAGCTGGAGTCTCAGGAACTTCCTAATAAGTTGCTGATAAGTTGCTGGTGGCTACCAGCCAAGGTCAGCTGGCCCCCATTAGTGCCTGTCCCCACCAAAGCAGAGCCAAACAGCCTGCCTGGTTAACACCTCAGTCGCTTTTTATTTCCAGTCCAGCTGCCCAGTTGTTGATACTTTTGTCCATATGAAAAGAAATCTCTTTTATTGGACTGAGATGCCAAGTCCAGTCCCAAAGAGGGAACACGTTTGCAGCTAACATGTATACCTCCTGATTTTATTTTATCTTTACAATGCAGGCTGGAGGTTTGTTACGCAGTTGTGTTGAGCACATCCCACGTTAAGGGCCTTTTAAAGACCTGGATTGATTGGAAGGACAAAAATTAAAAGCAATCTGATCCAGCCCCATGCCGGATCCCTGCGGATTGTCTCCTTATCCCATTTCCATCCACTGTCACAATTTGAGAGTCGGCTTGATTTGATCAGATCCACCTCCGGGGGAGGTGGAATGCCAAGGTTACAAGGACGCAAAGTTACGGGCAACTTTTTGATCTGCCCATCAGCAGTTTGAGAAACGCTGGCTCTGAATTTCCTGTATCGGTCTTTCGGGAAAAACAAGCTCCTCACTGTTTGCAAACCTGCAGTGCTTGAGGCTCTGGGACATCCCAGCTGCCATCGCCTGGTAGATGTGGCATTTCCATGCTGAGGCTGCGAGTCCCAGCTGACCCCGCCGCTGCCTCTCCAGGGCCTCTCTGGGCCGTGCCCCTGCGGACTGAGCAGCCATGCTGCACCTGCTGGCTCTCTTCCTGCACTGCCTCCCGCTGGCCTCTGGGGACTACGACATCTGCAAATCCTGGGTGACCACGGATGAGGGCCCCACCTGGGAGTTCTACGCCTGCCAGCCCAAGGCAATGCGTCTGAAGGACTACGTCAGGGTGAAGGTGGAGCCCTCGGGCATCACGTGTGGAGACCCCCCTGAGAGGTTCTGCTCCCATGTAAGTGCACCCCCAGCCGATCTCCGATCTCTGGCTCAGTCCGCAGGGGAGGGGGCCTGGGGCAGACCCTTGGGGTGGTGAACCCAGCAGGAGGGCCAAGTCACAAGGCTGACTCCTGTGTCTTGGATTGGGACCAGGTCTTTGTCTCACCTTGGAAATGGGCCAAAGCATAGCAGCCCTTGGGTCATGTGACACTCTCTGGGGTCAGGGCAGTTTTGGCCAGCTGACCACAGGATGGTTTTCTCTCAGGAAGAGAGTAGTATTCCCAGTTCTGCAGCCTCAAAGGTAAGCCCCGCCTCCCTGTAGGAAGTCTGCCCCTGGGCGAGTGAGTGAGCCAAGGACTGGACCTGCCTGGGTTCTTCCCTTCCACTGCGCAGTCTCCTCGTCCACCCAGCCCAATCCATTAGACAGCTATGAGGCCAGCGTGTGCCAGCACAGAGCTGGCGCTTTGCAGAAAAGGGTTGCAAGAAGGGATTCAAAGAGGAGGGCAGGGTCAGACTGGGAGGGACAGGGCAGCAGTGACCTTTCTAGTTCCATCCCTGTGTGTGATGACCACAGTCACAGATAGGTCAGGGGAAGGAAGGCATTCTGGCCTTGTCCCTTGAGTCTCCAGTCAGAGGATACAGAATGTGCCGGCACTCGGGGAATGTTAACAGCACAGTAATAGCAGAAATGGGGCTGAGAGCTAACGCGTCACTCTGTGGAGTCCCCCCAGACCCCCAGGCTCTGCCAGCCTGATTCTCTGTCATATAAAGTAGCAGGTTTAGGGGGTGGCCTCCAGACCAGCGACATCTCTGGACTCTGTTCTACCATCTGTAAAATGGGCACGCCAACGGAGCACACTCATAGGGTAGTTGGAAGGAGTTGGTGGCTTGAGGAACATCTCTTCACAATAGGGTTGGGCACAGAGCAAGTCTCCTGTAGGTGTTAGCTGTTGGCACTCCAGCAGTCAGCTGGGAAGACTGGGGCAGCAGAGGCGAAGGCCCGAAGGCCCGCGGCCAGGGTCTCACGCCAGGAGGTGGTGGAGCTGTGATTCCCGCTGAGTGTCTGGCTCCCAAGTGGCTGAGCTAAACGGCCTCCCCCCACCCCCCAGCAGGAGCTCTCCGGGCCCCTCCAGCAGGAGGCTGGGTAGGGCACCAGGCTGCAGCCACAAGAGGGGCTCAGAGTCATCTTCCAGGTGGCTGGTGTCTCTGAATGTCCTTGGAGGAGCCACCAGGCCTGGGGTTATGGCAGGGCCACCCGGTGTCCCCACCTGGGCTTCCTGAAGTTCTCAGTCCTGTGGGACATCTTCAGTCCCAGCACAGAGCAGCCTGGGAAGGTCGGTTCCCACGTGGGCTTGTCAGTGGAGATAAGGCTGTCACTGTGGGTGGTGGCTGGGCCAGGGCCAGCTGGGGAGGGAGGGGGAAGCAGCACAGGGCTGGGAGCCAGGGCTGGATCGCATAGTCCGTGGGCATCACTGCTATGGGGACCGCAGGGCCACATTGGCTCAGGGACAGGCCAGGGGGCTGGGCCCTGAAAGTCAGGGTTAAGGCCAAGCGGGGAGCCTGGTTCTGAGTCCACATCTTGGTCCACCTGCTCCCTGGCAGAGTCAACCTCTGCTCCTTGTGTAGAGCCTCAGCTTTATTTTTTTCCTCTTAAGTATTTATTATTGTCTTATTATGGCAGGGGAGTGGGACTGTTAAATGGTAATTCACAGGAGGGACTTCCAGTCCAGGGATCAAGGGATGAAGATGACCATCAAATGCTAGTCCGAGGCCCTCTCCTGGTCAAAGCCAGCTCTGAGGGACCCCTGGCCCTGGACTGCCCTGCCTCCCCCCACAGACAGCACCCTGCGCAGCTTCCCAGGGGCAGCGGCGCCCCTACAGGTCCTGATGCTGGCCGAACCTGAGCCCTGGGGTCTTGAAGGAGCGCTCCCCCCCCCTCCGCTCCTTTCCTGGAAGGCAGGTGAAGAGGGCAGGGAGGAAGGTCAGCATCCAGAGACCCCGCGTGGCCAAGTCCTCAGCGTCTCGCCACCTGTTTGGTGGATGTGAATATTTCATGACGGCTCTGCCTTTGATTACAAATGTGGACACAATATGAGTCTGGGAGGCTGCTGGCAGGTGGAGGCTGGCTTCTGCAGGGAGGTGAAGTCACCTCCAGTCTGGATTCAAACGTAGCACCACTGTGTACCATGGCCCCTCCTGGACAGGTCCACGGCATTTCCCATTTAATCATTTCTAGGATGCCCCAGGGTGAGGCCTGCTCTGATCCCTCCTTGGGGATTAGGAAGGGTTGCCTAAGTCCTGTCAAGGTCACCGTGTAGAGGGCAGGCCAGGAACTTGTCTGTAGCTGGTCATGTGCACACCTGCAGGTGGCACAGTCCGCCCTCTCTGAGCTTCTGACCTCCCTGAGCCTTGTTTCTTCCTCTTTCGATGGAGACAGTACTGAGGAGGGTCACAGTGCTGGTGGGAGGACACAGCCTGGCCATGCATGCGCTGGGCACTTGCTGGCATCAAGTAGGTGCCCCACGGTTAGTGACTGCTACTAGGTTATTACTATTGTTACTCCTGTGGCTCTGGCCCACCTTTCCTCCCTCCTCCCTCCGTCCCTCGTTCCTTCTTTCCCTCCCTGGAGTTCTCTGCCTCTCTCCAGCCTGGGGACACCTACATTCCTAGTCTCCAGGCAGCAGGCAGAGAGGATTCTTGCCCAGGGAGTCTCTAAACGCCTCCAGTCAGAGCAGGTGGCTGACCAGCCACCAGGGGGCGCAAGAGCAGCAGCCAGCCCACCCGATGCCCCTCAGCCTTGCAAAGGTTCAGTGGGTCCCTGCTCCCCTGCGCCCCTCCTTTGGCAGATGTAGGCCTGCCTGTCCCAGCTTGCAGCCGTCCTAGGCGTGAGCCCAGGACTTAAGAGGGGCCGAGGGGCAGCGCTGTCTTCAGATCCTGCGTGCAGACCCTCTCTCCCAGGCCTCCTGCCTGTCCTCTGACAAGGCCACCTGAGAACCAAATTGTAAATTCCAGCCTGGCGAGGAAGGGGAGGGAGATGAAAGACAAGATAAATGAATAAATAAAAGCCTATTGGCTCTAAATGCACAAGGAGAATTAATAGGGATGAGCTCTCAACCGAGGATTCTTGGGCAAGGACAAAATTTCAATGAGGGCTGCCGGGGAGCAGAGGCAAGCCCCTCCCGCAGTTCCCAGGGCTGGGAGGGGGACAGGGCTCAGCCAGCACAGGCTGCTCACCCTCCCAAGGCAACTGCTGTTCCCAGGCCCCCTCTGGGATGGAGAGGGCGTGGAGAGGCCTGAGGGCAGCCCCATGGTGCTCTGCGAGAGGCCACCTGCCAGTTACCTGTGCTCCCATGAGAGCAAGGGGGCACCCTTTGTGCCACCGGGATGAAAGTTGACCCCTTGAGACTCGGGTGAGAGACTGGGTCAGCCTACCCTGCCCAGGCAGGGCAGCCCTGGCCCCATTCCACACCTCTGAGCAGCACCAGCCTCACTGGGTTAGAAGTGCAGAATCTAGGGCCCTGCCGCAGACCTGCTGGGTTAAAATCTGCATTCTCTTTTTTTTAACAAGAGAGCCAGAGGATTCTGCTGGATAGACGCAGCGTCTGGTTCATGGAGGTGAAGCCTGTTATTGATGAAGGAGATCTGCGGGTCCTGTGGGATCTTTGCAGGTTTAGAAGACAGGACAGGCAGGCAGGAGGGGCACAGAGGGTCCTGAGAAAGGCACGGGGCTACAAACTGGAATCCCCAGGTGCATGTGGGACCTTGCCATCGCTGGGACCCGGGCTGCACTCTGAGACTTGGGAAAGGTTCCAGAGAGGGAGAGACAGCACTATATTCTGGAGAGAGCTACAAGCCTGGAATTCAAGCTGGGAGCTCATATCCTAGCACTGCCACCTGCAGGTTCCATTACCTGGAGCGAGTCATTCAGATTCTCCAAGCCTCAGTTTCCCCATCTGTAAAGAGGGATACGATCATGACTGCCCCATGGCCTTCCTGGGAGAAGAAGACACCTCTCAAAGTCTGCAGGGGCTTAACTGACAGTGTGAATTCTGTTCTAGTGAGAGGTTTGAGTCTTATCTCCTGTCCAGTCTTGATCATCCCGCTCTGTCCACGTGGAAATGGATGAACACTGAACTTTTCATGTAACGATACTCCAGAGAGAGATTGGAATCCATTCTGTGTGACCTTCAGGATGAGATTTAGCCTCTCTGAGCCTGGTTTCTTCAAGTCATGGCTATTAATAGACCATGCACCGGGGGCCTGTCGGGAGCTCGGGGCCTGGCACATAGCAGATGCTCAATTTATGCTGGCTATTAGCCCCAGTGCTCTACCTGCAGATGTTTGCTTCCCCTTGGAAACTCCTCGAAGGCAGGTCACCTCTGCAGTCCTTGCCCACTGCACGTTGATAGAACAAATGGGTGGATGGGAGGAATGGTGAGATCCAGGGAGGCTTCTTGGAGGAGGAAGCTGTCTTGAAGGAAGAACGGGGGTTTTCCAGTTGGAAGCCCCTGCTTCTCACCACTGCAGCCCCTGTTCCGGCAAGTCTGCAGTCGATGAAGCCTGGGGTTTGCACAGCTCTGTCTTCGTCAGCCTCCACAAGCGCCTTTGGGCACTGAGCTGCTCACCCTTCAACTTCAGCTCTCAATCTCCTGAAGTGCCCGAGGCAGGGCCCAGCCTGGGACAAGAATAGTTCCATGAGGTGACATCTTGTGGCACAGGGATGTCTCCAGCCCAGGAGCAGACATGAGGAGATGGGGCACTGTCACGGAGCATCAGCCCGCGGGCCCACGGGGTCAGATCTTTGCTTTCTGGCCCTTCTCATGGGAGCAGGTTTGGGTCAGATGCCCCAGGGAGGGCGGGGGCTGCTCAGTTGGGGTACTGTGGGGACCCAAAAGGCCTGGAAGAGACATCTTTCCAGAGGGTCAGAGACATGGGCCACTCTGCCGGCCCCTCTTCCGTTCCGCTCCCGACGCTGGTCTGGGTAGATTTTCCTTGGGGCGTTTCTGAGCGGTTATG